TTAGTCATGTTTATATAAATCCCTGTTGCTGTACACCCTCGAGTCTGGTATATACTAGCTACTTCTCACGTGAAAAAAATGACTAATTAAAAAAAAGAAAGTGTATATTTCTGAGTGTCTACTCCTAATATTTCAAGGTTCCTATTCTGGCTGAAATGTGTGAGACATGGCCATCTCCATATCAGGCACAGAAACCCCTCATACTTGTATTTCAGATGTTTTGGAATATGAATGCCTACCTCCTCAAACTGTCACACAAAGTGCATTTCATACACTTTCATACATGTCACTTAACAGTTATCTTAAGCATAGCTTTTCCCAGAAATCTGGTACAAACTCATGTCGAGCCATTTTCTCATCATGCTGCACAGACAGAAACTTCATTTTATCCATGTAGATCTGCTTTCCTCTCCTCACAACTGGTTTCTTCTTACTTGCACTCATTTGCACGTTTTAAATTTATATTTCGGATTCTGAATATTCGGTGTGTACAAGACTTAGTGGATACAGGATTTAGACGAGGGGACTGCAAAAGTCACTTTAAAAATTAATCCGTTATAACCATTTCAGTCGAGGGCTAACAGAGAAATGCGAAATATGGTTCTAGGACGCTGACGAATTTTCTTGGGTGAGGCATAATCTCTCCTGTCCGGTTCTGACTTGTTGACGAGGGGGGCGGAGTTAATGGAGAGAAGATTCAGGATCTGAGCTGGAAGGGGTTTAAGGCTGAAAACATTTGTTACTGCTCTGGCTCCTCCTTCTCCGCCCCCAATTCTGAAACAAGGCGCCCTGCTCGATGCTTCCAGTGAATACTTTTTGCCAGAGCGAGGAGACGCAAGATGCACAATACTCCGCGGTGGTTAGAGTACAGAATCGCTGGGTGCAATCTAGGGCAGGGCTCAGCGTATAAGTGCCATGGTCACAAACTGCTTTGCAACTCTGAGTCGCCAAGATTAAAACTTTTGGGATTCGATAAGTTCGGGTTCAGAAACCATCACACTTCTTGGGGAAATAGCTCAAACTAAACATCCCATTCCAAGTCTAACTTTGTATTCAGTATATTATCCTCTCAAGTGCAAAACGCTCTTTCTCGTTCTCAAATATCAGGCAGCCAGGGAAGGCTAAAACGTATTCGGCAAGCAGTTTTTTCAGACAAGTAGGCAACAGTGACCACCTGCTACCAAACCAGGAGGGTAGGACGGTAGCCGAGAAAGGCCAAACGTAATAAACCGCAGTAGCGCTACAGAACGCAGCCGACGTCTGACGTAAGCTTTCCTGCCGCAGTGCATAACGGGAGGAGTGGCGGACAGCGCTGGGGGCGCGCGCCTTCTGTAAACTAAAAGAATTCCGCCGAAGACCAGAGCGGTGTTCTCGGTGCTCGTGGCAGCTTGGGGTTACCCACTTGTGGAGACCGCGTTGCTCACGCGGTACGGGGCCACCCCCGGTTTTCTTGAGTCGCACGGTGACGCAATTGCGAGCGCGCCAATCCGGGGCTGGCTGTAGCGCGGTCTCGTCAAATTTGAATTTCCAGACTGTTGTGTCTGGGAACCTCGCCGAGGGAGTGAGGGTCACCTGGGGTCGGGCTACGGGGGGCTGGAGCCGATTTGGGCCAGTGGCGCGAGCCCTGGGGCGCCCGGCCCACCCCACGCGAAGCCAAGCAAGGACTGCCGCCTTCTAGCTCTCTCAGGCCCTTCACTCAAGGTATGAACTCCTTGCACTGCTTCCTCCGCCCCCTGCCTTTTGTCCCCTCTGGCGGTGAGTGTCCCCAGCCCCATCAGCATTCACGGTTCGCGTGGACTTCTGTACATTTCTGGCTTTGGTAGGGGTTTCACGACTACGCCTTCGTTGTGTACTTATGTATTGCGTGTCTATCGCAGTTATCAAGAGATTTCGTTTTGATAGTGAACGCTCTAGGCGTTTGTTCTAAAATCACTTCTAGTAAGAAAAAAAGCTTTACGTTAGAATGATTTGTGTGCATCACTGCCCTTGGACCTCAAGATCCACAGTGCTATAGGGGCGCCTGGGTGGCTTAGTCGGTTGAGCGTCCGACTTTCGCTTAGGTCATGATCTCGCGGTTCGTGGGTTCGAGCCCCGCGTCGGGCTGTGTACTGACTGTCACCTCAGAGCCTGGAGCCTGTTTCAGTCTGTGA